CCCACCACTCCAGTCGACGTCATTTCTTGCATCGAATACGGTTCCGTCCTGGTGTGGCCTTGCGCCCTTGTCCGTATTAGCGTTGCTGTCCTCTGGACTTTGATTTTCTTTGCCATTAGCGTCTACATCTGCGCGGACGACGTTTCTGATTTCTTTGACCAAGTCTCCCACTTTGAATGGCTTGCTGATGACCTCGTCCATGCCTGCATCGATCATGCCCTTCCTCTGCGCCTCTCTTACATTGGCACTGACGCCCAGAATCCACGAGTAGCCTGTCTTGCCCTCCTCTTGCAACTTTCGAATTTCCTGCGTTGCCCTGTTCCCGTCTTTGATGGGCATTTCTTGATCCATAAGAATGCAGTCAAAGTGATTGCGGTCATTAGTATCTTCTGGTGCGTCCTGGCCACGCTTTGCAACAGCATCGACGGCTTCTTGCCCATTGCTTGCGGTAAAAACTTCAAAGCCTCGGGACTGTAGTTGGCGACGAAGGACTTTCCGGTTGATTATGTTGTCTTCTACAAGAAGGATGGTGAGTCTGGTTTCGGAGCTCTCCTGGCTGTTCGATAATGACACAGTGTCCGCTGCATCTTGTTGGCTCGTCGTGTTGCTTCCTCCCAGGTGAAACAGCTTGTCTCCGATAGCGGTGGTGGTGGATGTACTCTCGCGTTGAACTTGACTCACGGTCCGTTTTGTCTCCCCGTTCCAGTTGTCTTCGGAGGATTCTGGATGTGCTTCTGCTCTGTACTCGGTTGCTGGGTTCTTGAGAGAGTCATCGACCTTGTCAGTGTCAACCCCCCGATGGCTTGTGAGCGTCTGAGCTTCAAGTCGTGTTTCCTTCTTTCCCTCTTTGATGCTTAGAAAGTTGGGGTTCGCAGGACTATACGAAGGCCGCGGGGTCTGGGCGCGATTGGATGGTTGAGCGCTTTGGTCAGAATTACTTCGAGATTGGCATGATGGCCGGCCGTCTGAACGCCGAACTTTGAAGAAGAATTCAAACGTTGAACCCTCCCCTTCTATGGAGCTTACACCAATATCGCCGCCATGTAGTTGGCAGACTGGAGAGATGGTGAGCTAAGCTGAATCAAGTTACGCTATAGAACTTACGTTTGCGGGATATAAAAAGACCTAACCCCGAGCCTCCATATTTCTCCTGCGTTTTTGGTGTTGCTTGGCTGAGAAGCACAGATCAGTCTTGTGCACCAAGTTGATGAAAACAACAAACCTACAGAAATCGCTGGAATAACTTCTTTTGATCCTCCTCGTTTATACCTATGCCGGTGTCCTTGACAGCTACCAAGAGGTAGAAAGCGACCCCAGAACCCCACTCAGAGGTTATCGGCGAGTTAACATGGAACGCTTCTTCATCCCGACCAAAGAATATCATGTTAGGTGGATATGAGGTTGGATGTTCCATAGAGGCACCTACGGAGACAACAATCCTCCTCTCACCGTGCTTCTGAGATGTGAACTTGATTGCATTTGTGATCAAGTTAGCCAGAACTAACATGTTAGCACAGTTCATGAGCCAAAAGAAAATTATCACCTTGTTTCATCCTATTAAGATCGGCAATAACGTGATCAACTTCGAGTTCGTCGTACGAGACGTTCATTGAATAATGAAACTTGATGTTCTTTGCTCTGAACTCAGATTGAAACACCTTGAGGAACGTAGAGAATTCCCATTTCGGCTGTACTTCTATGATGGGGTCAGCGAATATGCCGAGCATGCACAGTGCAACTCACCATGCGGGATAAGAGTTAGCATCATGGAATCAAGCTTTGAGAAGGATAGTATGTCGTCGACAAGGTTGCTCTGATGGGAGACACACAGCAGTATTGTATCTGCAGCGTCTATAATATCTGCGACCTGGTCGTGCAGCTCCTTGTGGCTGTTCCCAATCTCACGGGTAACCTCCTTGACTTCTTCGGCTAGGTGCAGGACGGCGCTGAGCGGATTGCGAATCTCGTGCGAAATCATGTCGATGAACCTCTCCTGCTGGTCTTTGCGCTCTCGCGCTTCAGTGGCGGCTCGTTCTTGCGTAAGTTGGGCGTTCTTAATCTCAGTAATGTCGACAATGGCACTGATGAATCCGGCCTCGGGCTCCTCGCCAAGTGGTTTGAGCAGGAACAACCGCCATTCTTCGTGGCCAGCAGCGTTATCACCGACACATCGGAATTCGATCCTTAATTCATCGCGAGAGGAGAAGGCTTTGCGGTAGGCACTCATGACACGGTTATAGTCATCCGGATGAATGCTCTCGGGCCAGGCGCGGAATTCGTTCTGGCCCTTGTTCGTCGTCAGCGTGAAGAAATCATCGTTGACGAACATGGCCTCCGCTTTGGCATCGAGAATGGCGAGGCCGTTCGGAAGCAGCTCGGCAAACCTCGCGAATAGCTGGGTCTGTCGTGCATCGGGCTGTAGTTCCACGTCACCTTTTCCCTGCTGTTGCGATTGGGAGTCCTTCAGCTGCCTGCTGGGGTTTTCGCGCGCAAGCTTAGTAAGTCCCTTGAGCGACAGGTACTTCTCGACCGAGTTGTTCTGCAGCATCTGGGCCAGGACGCCCTGGCGGGTGCCTTTGTCATCGACGAGGGTGCTAAGTAGGATCTGCGACTCAGGGTCATCGAGGTCCTTGAGGAAAAGGCGGGCGACTGGCGGGCGTTAGGACGGGAGACATCAGGGAGGGGCAAGCCGATGCACCCCTACCTTGACCGAGCGGCCGCGTACGACGGAGCGCAGGGCGCGGAGGCCTTCATCGGAGTAGCTGTAGTTGGCAGAAGTGCCCTGCCCGTCGAGGTTGCTTCGCGCGCGCCCCCAGGCGAGGTTGTAAACGACGGTGAGGTCGCTGCCCCAGAAGATGGCGGCGCAGTGGGGCATGGGCAAGACACACGAGTTGACGAGACATGTCAGCGCCGACGGCCAGGACTCGCGCGGTCCCAGTGGGCACTGAGACCAGTCATTCTCGTCGAGACTCTGCGCGTTTAGGTCGAACACGGGCAGACCGGCCGCCGAGAGAGTATCGAGGTTCTCCATGGGTGGTGCGGCCGTCTGAGATATTGCGGCCGTGTGCGAGCCCAGCAGTGCCACGAGGCATGGCGGCGATTCGGCAAAGACGTGGGCGCAAAAAGAGCAGCGATGACATGCACCAGGAGAGGACTAGCTCAGCGCTTCGCGTGCCTGGCATATCACGATCGCTCGCGCACACAACTATTGAATGACCACCGCAAAGGCGTGCACTCGTGGAGATTCATTCATTCATTCATTCCTTCGATCCTACTCAGTTTTAGCCACGTTTTTGTGCAGCTATGCCCGGTTAGTAGGCTTGGCAGACAGCCGACGCGGTGCAGAAGAAATTTCTACCCCGCCCCCATTTCACTCCCGTAAACAAGAGCCATCTGTCTCCAGAGGCCTGCTGTTTCCCTTCAGCCACTATCTACATTTGCTTGGCGGCCCATCCAGATAATGGTTCTACCAATTAGACACTGTGCTTCTAGGCTCATAGAGACGATGTGCCTCGTGTTTTGTGACTGTAATACCTTCAGTCTCACTCCAGCTCCGATAGTTTTGGTGTTCTCCGTGCGTTACCGTGTCCGTGCGCGTAGTGCGCTTTTCGCGTAATGCGCATCTGAGCCACCCAACCGTCCCATCTTTGCAGTACTATTTCTCAACACCACAATGACTTTAGAAGAAGCCCTTGAAGAGCGACGTGTAACTGATCCTGGCGAAACGATCCCCGATCAGCATTTGGCGGATAAACATGGTGTTTGGCGGTCAACTCTGACGCGGCGGGCAGAGGGAGAAACCGCGTCGCGTGAAGACAAGGCAATTGCACAACAGAAGCTTACGCCACAACAAGAAGATGATCTTGTTACTTACATAGAAGGACTTACTGTACGTCACTTGCCACCTACAAGAACAATGATCAAGAATTTCGGCAGGAGATAGCTAGTGTAGAGGTCTCTGATTCCTGGGTTACGCGCTTCCTCAATCGTCACCCCGAAAGGCTTACCTCGCAATGGGCAACTGGTATGGATAAGGAGCGTCACAACGCTGATTCTTGGGGAAAGTATGAGCAGTACTTTAGGCTCATCGACCAGAAGATGAAGCAATATCGCATTGAGACTTGGCACACATACAATATGGATGAGAAGGGCTTCGCGATCGGGAAGATTGGCAGGTCCAAGAGAATCTTCGACAAGGCCTTGTACAAGCAAAAGCACACTCGGCAGTCACTCCAAGATGGCAATCGTGAGTGGATCACACTCCTTTCTTGCATCTGCACCGATGGTACAGTCCTTCCGCCAGGCCTCATATATGCGGCTAAGACCAGAACGTCCAATCAAGCTGGTTGGTCGATGTGGAAGCAAAGGAACACTCAGTATTTACTGCTGTTTCTTCTTCTGGCTGGTCGAACGATGACGCAGGGCTTGGCTGGCTTGAGCAGGTGTTTAATCGCTTCACTAAGAGGAAAGCAAGAAGAAAGTACCGTCTACTAATAGTAGATGGCCATGGGAGTCACCTAACTATGGCTTTCGTTTCCTTCTGCGATCGCAACAAGATACTGCTAGTTGTGTACCCTCCTCACAATACCCATACGCTTCAGCCGCTGGACGTAGTTTGCTTCAAGCCTCTGGCTCAAAACTACAGCGATGAGCTCACAGGTCACCTTCACAACAGCCAAGGCCTGGTCCCAGTGAAGAAGGGTGACTTCTTCCGCCTTTTCTGGGCTGCCTGGGTGAAGACCTTTACCGAGAAGCTCATCTACAGCGCCTTCAAGTCCACCGGGTTGAGCCCATGGGACCCTAACGTTATACTTAGTAAGTTTGCTCCTAAGCCACCTGAGCCTCCTCCAGTTACCCCACCTCCTCAGCCATACGAGGGCCCCGATTGGCGACTTGCTGACAGGGCTCTGCAGCGTGCTGTGGAGGACAAGTATGCAGAAGACTCAGTGCGGGTACGGGATACCCTTCACCATCTCCACATCCAAAATCAGCTACTCACGATGACAAATAAGGGGTTAGATCAAGCTCTGAGGCAGCAAAAGAAGGGCAATAAGAAGAGCAGAGCTTTGCCACTCATTCAGAGGCAAGATTGGGATGGGGAGACTCAGTGGTGGTCTCCTTCGCGCGTCAACAAAGCTCAGCAACTCCTGGGTGAAGCAGATGAGGCAGAAAGGCAAGAAGAGATCAGAAAAGCAGACGCAGCTGAGCTTCGTGAGACCACACGCAAGTTCAAGCAAAAGCTTGACGCTGAGAAAGCGGAGAAGCGGGAGAGAGAGAAGAAGGAGAGGGATAAAAGGAAGGCAGGGGAGCGCCAACAGATTGATGCACGCAAGGCAGAGCGAGCGCGCAAGAAGGAGGAGAAAGACCGTGAAAACGCATCACGCACTAATTAAGCGTGTTGTCACGCTTGTGGCTGGTCCGGCAACTGCTTTACCGCACCCCAACCACCTGCAACACCACGCAAACATGAGGCTATTATGCCACACACAATAACTATTATCACGAGATAACTTAGTGAAGTACTATACAGACCTATGCGACAGACCTTTTCACCTAATCTTTTTGCGCGGAGCGACTTTGCGGCCACGGCTGTTGTATGTGGGTGAGGGTGACGGGGAGCGCTCATGAACAACGCGCCGACTACGAGCTGCTGCACCACCACGCTTCTGCTTCTTGCTAGGTGCTGCACCTGTGAAGCGTTGCGCTTGCCTCTTTGGGGCAGTTGTACAGCTTTTTCAGCGTCGCGAGCTTGCTTATCACGCTCTCTGTGAGCCTTGCGTTCGGCGGTTTCTGCAGCCTTCACAGCCTTGAGCCGGCCTCTCTCTTCCTTCTCCCTATCACGCCTTGGCCTATTGTCTTCCTTCTCCTTCTGCTTTGGTAGCTCTTGAGTATGCTGGAGCCCGCGTTGGATAGCTTTTGCTGCTTCTATTTCCTCCTCATATTGTTGTTGTGCATCCATCCGTGCATCTGCCTCCTGCTTTGATGAAGGGACTCCACCCCTTTGCTCCGCCATGCCACTCGATATTGTGAGCGTACAAAGGCAACACTCTATGTTTGTCCTTCATCTTCATCTTCTCAGTTAAAGCCCCCTGCGCGCTGTTAAGCTGTTGTTGGAGTATCTGATTCTGTACTGAAAGGCGGTGGATGTACTGCGCTAGAGCATCAGCAGCTATAGCGTCATCCCCCTTGGTTGCTGAGCGAAGTAGTGACTTAGCTTTAAGCCACAATCGCTCTCCAGATGAAGAAAAGAGCGCTGTTTGCTCTGGAGGTGTTGCAGCAGTCTCTGGTGTTGCAGTTCTGAATCTATTGAGGATAACGTTGGCGTTGGGTGGATGTATACCTGTAGTGGAGAACGCCTTCAACACCAACGTTTCTGTATTCACATATGCCTTCCAGAATAGCGAGAAGAGGTCACTCTTCTTTGTGGGTACCCATCCCCGAGTTCTCTGAGTGCGAAGGTCAAGCTGCTTGGTGTAGTTTTGTGCGAGAGGCTTGAAGCAGACTACGTCAAGCGGCTGCAGCGTGTGGGTGGCGTGTGGGGGAAAAATCATAAGTAGAATGTTGTGATTGTCGCAGTAGTGGATGGAAATCCTTCGTTACATGGCTGCCGTGGTCGTCAATAATGAGTAGACGTCAATTTCTCCCATTCTTGGGCTTGGTGTAGCGACCAAACACCTGTTCAAGCCACGTCAATCCAAGATCGTTACTTGTCCAGCCGTTGGGTAATGTAGTGAAGTGTACTGACCATACTTCTCGCCAGAATCGGGCTTATGGCGATCGTTATCCATGGGGGTGGTCCAGGCTGTGATGAGCGTGTCTTTGTTGCGGTTGAGGAAGCTGGTAAGCCAGCTCTCAGATGGCTCCCTTTCAATTACTAGGTTAACGAAATTCTTGATCCTTAGTCTTGTAGGCACAAGGTGTCGCTCTGTAAGTCCTTTTGTGTACCTTGCCAGCTCCTCCTCATCGCATCGGTGCATCAGGCGTTGTTCAAGTGCTTGATCCTATTTGGACGCGCATACCCTATTCAACTAACGGGTCATAGTTGAGCGCCACACACCGTGTTTATCAGCAACTTTTTGGTATAGAAGGTCAACGCATTGACAGGTTGCACTTGCCTCTGTAATGGCCTCCTTCACAAGCATCACTGCGTTGAGATAGGGGGTTTGGAAATAGTACTGTTATTACGCTGAGGTGCGCGTTGCGGCAACATGCGCATTGCGGGCACCGACACGGCCGTCAAACGTCTGACGCCAATTGGCTTGCGCATCCCATCATGTACGTTGCGTCTAGAGAATCATCTTGCAACTGTGCACAAGGGTGAAGCAGCAACCGTTAGTCACTGTAATTCATTTGTCCCGAGAAGATTCGCATCTGCTAGTCGTTCTTGGATTCGTTGTGTCCGCGAGCGCTGACGTGTTTTCGCTACGCACGGTTTTCTGCCACGCAGCGACGGACGTGATATTGATGATCGTCAGCATGGCTGTCAATGCTGACATGGAAATGGGACAGGCACGTTTGCCACATCGCACCACATCCACGGACATGCCCTTGATGTAGTGCTTTGCATGACAGAAGTGATCGACTAGACTGTTCACTATGCGGACTGTGGGAATCCGAACATCGACTCAATGCGATGTCAGCTGTGTCAACGGCCAAAGCGATCTTCAGTCGGTCCCGGCCGAATCCTATCAAATCACTAATTATCTATGTTTGCAGTGTCCTTTTCCGTTTCATTCCCAGAGAAATATTGAAAGTCCCTATATCTTCAGGATCTGCAGTCCTTCGACCATCGTATCATCTGCCTCTACCAACGCCCAGCCAACAGCGCTGATTGCACAACGAACAGCTCCGTAACAGACACCTTAAGGGGCAATGAATAAGCCATAAGTATTCGAATGTATCTAATGCGCAATGCCACAAGGGTCACATTCGTGCTAACATTGCCAGGGTACCATTATCTGAGCCGTAAAGGGTGTCGAGCGCATCCGTCTGTCTCTAGAGCCTATGGAGGCCTCTGAAGGTCGCTTGCAATACACAAGGTGAGTAGAACACAAGTCGATGCACGCAGGCCTGACTTGGATCAAAAACACAGTGGAGGAGCGCTTAGCGATACGACAATGGACGCACGGCGGACTCCAGATGCACCCAACTCTGATGAGAGCTACCAGAGACAGAGTGTCCTTCTACTTCAGCAGGTTGTAAACCTTGGCACCGACCATGCACAACACCAGGATCAAGTGTTGAGAAACATCCTCGAATCATTAAAAGAACTCAAAGAGAGCCAAGACACTCTGTATGCATCACAGGAAGCTATGAGAAAGCAGTTGAACGACACCCAATCTCTCATCAATAATCATTATCGCCGCTCGAATCAGTGCTTCTTGTCAGAATATCCGCATCCGGCTAGCTGTTACCAAGGTCGCGCATTGTTGCCAGGCAATGCTCAGTATGGTACCGGTGTTTGTTCGCATCAGCAAAACAATGTGCAGTACGTATCTATCCCTCGATTTCGAGTGTAGAATATTGACATTGAATCACCAGAAGCGATTTCGTACAAGAATTATACGACATTTTACAGAGGCACAGCCCATCTAATGTGCCTCGAAGGGCAATGTAAATAACTAGCCATAGTCAATGCATTTTCCAGTGGGCACAAGTTCCTGTTGCGAGGCAGTTTCTATTCTGATTGCAATTCTATTGTTTCACAGCGCTACTTTCTTCTGCTTCACAAGCCATAGGCTTTTCGGGTGCATGTTTTCCATCCTCAGTATTTATGCTGGTGGTGACTTTGCGGGCGCCGGTATAACGCGCGTCACTGCCGTAGATGATTCATTGCGTCGACGGACTCAAACCGCATGTTCGGCATCTTAGGTCCAGAACGCTCCCTTGAAGATTATATAGCGAATGCACCTTTGATGCCGAGAGGAAGTATTGTGAATATAGAGAAGCGCAGCATATAGATTATGCTCGTAGATCTTGTTAGGTTTGTATACTATATCAAAGTCATTCTAGAAGAGGAAGATTACCTCGGGTCATCGCCCCGAGCATCATAGGTGTCCGACCATAACAAAATCGCTGGCTTGATGCAACAAGCAGTTCATACGACAAGTGACTATGAGATAACATTGGACGCATTTAGATGATTCCTAGCATAAGACCATGCCACTGCGTTATAAATCTTCTGCTGACGTATCTGTGCTTCCAACTTCTGAAGGATTTCTCCAGGGGACGGATCCAATGTCTCCAAAGCTGAAAAAAAGCAGGACTGATCAGAGACAGGACTAGACTGGGTCGGGAGGTTCGGCGTGCTGTCCATAGCGAAGTCATCGGTGTCTTTCTGAGAAGAAGCTGTCGTCGGCTCAGATAAGTGACATAGGAAGGCCCGAAAAGTGTCTACCGTGCGCTGGATGCATGGTTGTCGCTCCACCAAGTACGTCTTTGTGGATGGATCCGTAGCATTTTCCAAGATACTCGCAACGTCGTTGATATCCTTGTTGATGCATGCTAACTTCATTTCAAGTTGGAGCTTTGAGCATGAGCGGTCCAGGAGGTCACATGTACTTTCGGTGCATTCGGCTTCCTCTGCAACCTCTAAAGCTCTTCGATTATCAGTACTGATGCTGAAATGGGGGGATTTGCTGGATTAAGAACGCACTTCTTCTTCTTCGCCCTGCATGACAGTCAGAAGCAAGAAAAATGAGCCCGCAGACTTTCCCTTGGGTACTTACTTCTCCCTGTATGTCTTTTGGGCTATTCGATTCTGCTCTTGTCGTTTTGCTAATTGCTCCGCTCGGGTTTTGTATTTTCGGTAAGCCATAAGTGTGATATTGCAGTATCGAGCGTTGCGAGGAACACGAACAATAAAGGGCTGCGTTGATCTCTGTTGAATGAGAAATAAAAGGCTTAAATACGTAAGAAGAGAGTATCTCGATGCTTGGATGGCACTAGAGAACACTCTAGCAGTGTTCTTTTACACTGCTGGTGCGAACGGTACCCTTGGATTTGGAGAACACATAGTGAAGGGTGATCGTAAGCATAATTGAAAGCAGCTTTTACCCAACAGGTAACTGGTGGTGCCAGAATGCATGGGTCAACGCGACCGCGAGTAATCCATCAGCCTCCAAGCGCTTTTGTCTGATTATTTCTCTCGTTGGTCTCCTGCATGGCTTGTTAAAGAGCTGACTGTCTTCACTCTGATCTACTCTTCGTTCACCATGTTTTTACAACATCACTGTTCGTCCGCCCACACATGGTTGATTACGCTTTTGATAAGATACTCTCGAAACGGCAGCAGGTCGGCTAGATAACTACAGTCTGTCCAAGCCGCGGCGGAAGAAAGCGTGGTCTGATCTTCGACCCTGGCGTAATACTGTAGGAAGTAGCAAGGGAGAATAACTCCCGAGGAGAAAGTACGTACTTTGCTGACCCCAGTCAGTCATTACGTTATGAGGCACGATTTTGGAGACGATACGCATTTAAAACATTCGTTTGTGTGTAGTCTAGCAGATGCTACATGCATCGCAGGTACGCGGGCCAGACATACCAGTAAGCAGCGAGGACAACGCTTTTGGCCGTGGGTCCTTGGCTAAGCTTATGGACCTTGGAGTTCCGCGCAATAGTACCTCGACAAGTTCAGTGTCCAGGTGTTGCACCAACGCAGCTTGTATTCGACGAGATTGACCGCGAAACAGGCTCTTCCAGCAACTTATGCTGCCTTGGACGAAGAAGCCCCTGAGATGCGTCGCTGTTGCGATTGCATTGGGGGCGATCTGATGAGACGGTAAGCACTTACAGTGATTGTGCGGCACAGCCATCGCGTGACCGTTTACTCGTATGCCGCTTATGCCTGCCAATCGGAGGCTGTCATGCACGATCGAATCGCAGTCGTCAGTGCATCGAGACAGGCAACCGATTTCTGTAGTGTAAAGCGTCCAAATTCGTATAGTATTTTGATGCCGTATTTTGATCGTACTGTTCGATCGATCTTCCTTCCGTGGTGACAGCCCCCATCATCGCTTGCATCGATAATTCACTGCATGCCCAGAAACGAATCTCTTCGCAACTGCTACCTACGTAGCACGTCCACATCATCGTCTCACAGATCGCGATCGTGACCGCCCGGTAAGGCAGCTCTCGTCATCCCTTTACCGGCAGCTAACGCTCTCCTCCAAAGTGCAGGCTACGAAAACTGTAACAAGCCATTTGCATACGACTGGGCGAGTTATCATTGCATTAGTGGATGTTTAGGTCATGTAGTCGAAGCGAATGTTTGCCCGGTGTGCGAGAGCCACCTCGATAGCCCTAGCCATCTGGAAAACGTGAGCGAGCTTAGCACCTCTGTTGTCTCTATGCTGACTGTTATATGAAGCACAAAATAACTCACATGGAACGCCATGTGGAATGTTATGGTTGCTATCGGAAGTTCAAGGCCTTCTCAGATATGATACTTCACCTGGAGACAGGGTCATGCCCGTCGGACTTAACTTCGCAAGGCTTGAACATGATCGCAGCGCAATGTTACCAGGCGAGCAAGTACATCAACAAAAAATTCCGTACAGATATGCGAGGGCGAGAGGATCTCAGGGAGCTGTACGCTACTATGGTATTGCCTTTCCAGTGTCCGGAGTGCAACCGCGAGTTTCGGATGCTCTCGGGCTTGCTTGAACATTCCTCGAGCCAGAAGTGCTCGCAGACGCTGGACTCAGGTGCGATCGGGAAACTTGTGAAGTGGCTGAATAAGAAATATATTGTCAGATAAGCTATGGATACTCTTCTGCTGAGTGTCGGTTCGCATGGCTAACTTCGACCATGACACCCACTCGTCAGATCATGACGGAACGTGCTGCCAATAACAAGAAACGAGTTAGGGATCCAAGTTTTGCTGTCGTCCCTATCTGGAAACATCGCACGGTACGGTGTTCTAGTCGCTATGGCGCATTAGTGGGCTGACTATCATATGGCATCCAGGAATCGAATTTCAGCAAGTTTGTCCAGAGCATACAACTCGACATTCTGCTCATCTGCGCCTCTTCAGCCTTCCCGATCAAACCCCCGGCTCTGTATCTGACGAACTTTCCTCTGCCTTGACTTTTGGTGTAATGTGTGATTATCGTAAGTCTTCGTCGTTGATAACTGATATGGGGCTGCCCTGCCCACGTAGCTGAACTGAGGACAAGACATGCCAGGGTCGTGCTAATCTCAACTGGGAAGCTCTCTCAGCGAGCGCATTCCGTATTGAATCCTTGCCAAAGCGGAAGGACAAGACGTTAGTATGGAACACTATCAGATCTACCACGCCGACTCGATCTCGCTAGCCGTATTCCGTGTTTGACACCAGGCACACCTTCCCCCATCTCGCCCGATCCTCCGTTCGTTTCGGCAATCCTCTATTCTTCGACAGCCGCTCTTTTGCTTTCGCTAGTAGTCTTTCGTCTTTATCAACCGCCTCTTGATACATGTGCGATCTGTACTCCAATGACCTATCAACATCTGGTATCCACAAAACGCGAGTCCTCTTAGTTGGACTTGGTCTAGATTTCTATAGCATCCCGATGATTTTTCACTAGTTGGCAAGTAGCGGTAGCCTTCTTTTATCTTGGATATCTTGCATCCGCTAGAACGTGCACACAATCAATGGAGGCGAGATTGTATGTTTAAATACATCCACACCCTCAGCAAAAGTTCGTGGGGGAAGTTCGGTACGGGGAGGTTGACGCGTATAGGCAGTGCGTTAAGTGAAGGGCAGATTCTGTCGCAAGCTATGCCTCTGTTGCGGCGTTTGTTGTTGGCTCATTCTTTGGATCGAAGTGACCCCCAAGTTCCTCAGCGCCCTACTGGACTGTATTTAGTTCTCCCCGCAGTTTCTTGTATGTCGATTACATAGGTTCTGAGCGGAATCTGGATCGCCGTTCGTGTCGCTGTCGCTGTCGCTGAAACCTCTCTTTCCTCCAATTCTCGAACTTTTCATAGCTATGCAAATATTTCTTATCTGCCCCAATGCCGCACAGAAACTCTGCGTCTTCAGTCCTCCTCTGATTCAGTTCAGCTAAGAGCAGCGCGGTGCACAGTTTGATGTTTTTCTTGCCTCCCATAAAGGTTTTGAGAACTTCTCTTTGATCAGTGCCGGGTTCGTATCGCCTGAAACCCTTTACTAATAGAAGCTGAGAATCCCTGCTCTCGAGCTGCTCAAGCAGCTTCTTGGTTTCTTCAGCAAGAGGATCGTTTGCAAGGCGCTCCCAAGCAGCGAATACCTTGCACATTCCAAATAGTTTATGGAGCCATTTACAGACACGCGATAAATTTAATGAAGCTTGCTTGTCTAGATAACGATTTATCATCAACAGAAGCTCATCGGGAAGCTCGAGTATAGGGGCTTTGTCCGGAGTCGGTATGTAGTTAAGAGAATCTGGGAAACCGAGGTAAACGGGGCTCGTGCTGCTAGCAATTCTCCGATATGTATTATGTTTTCCCAGACGCAGTCGTAACTCTTGGATCTGCGACTGTAATCGCTCTGATGATCCAGGATCTTCTCTCTGTGCTGAGGCCATTGGGCACAGCTGTCGAATGGTACGCCCTAAGACGCGATGACGAATTGTGAGAGACGTGCGTGCTGATTCCCTACCTCCTGCCTATCTCTATTCTTTACGTTTAGAGCTCCAGAAGAGCTTGGTTGCTTTGCTTGTTGTCGAAGGAAGGCGGACGAATGCGCAGATGGTGGTGCGGTGGCGGCTGTTTTCGGCGGCGAGCTGACTGAGATGACGGCGATAGCAATGAGAAAGTGGCTGAGTGAGTCGGTCCTTGACGTCTTGCAGCGTCACCTCTTGAGAAGGGAATTGCGTATTTTGTGGCCCTGAAAAGTGTGGCGTGACTGAGAACATGCTACGGAATAGCCGAGAAGCGATCGCTGTTTTTCCGCGGCCCTACTTCATGCTTCTACTCCTGTTCACCGTCGCAAAGAGGCTTGTGCGTGAACCATGCGATCACACTTCCATAAACCTGCAGACTGCGCGGCACAGCTGCATGCAGAAGACTGGCCTACCCCTGTCTACACTACGAAGGAGGGATGAACCAAGTGCAGTCCGCGTCAGATGTCGGGAGCCCTGTCGCTTAGTTTCGCGCACAAGCCCACTTTGAAAGCGTAAGCAGCTTACTGCCAAGCAAATGCTCCACTGCGGCACAGTTCTCGTCGTGACAACCTTGCGCGGAGCTGACGGATCCTTCAAAGTGCTTATGGTCGTCATGGAGTCATGTCGCGGTCAGCCTCGCTTGCAGTGCGGGAGAGTCGCAGCAGCCTTGCTACCCCAGTTCAGCCGCTTCTGCACCGAGAACGATGCAATCGCTGATGTTGCCCACTGGCCATCGCACATCCCAGTCGCCGAAGCGCCAGTCTGCCTCCATTCGCGTCGGAACATTGAACGCATTGTCGTTGGCTTTGGCCAGCTTGGAGAAAGTTTCCAGCTTGATCCGGAACCAATGCCTATTGTGAGTGTTCGAGAGGGCTGCCAGCTGTCGCACGGTTGGGTGCGGGTATTATAGACAGAGTGGTTAGGAGAGAATGTATGTCGTATTGATTCTAGCACCCTAGCTTAGCTGATATGAAGGTTGTTGCACGGCGCTGTTGGTAATAAAGTTCATGTTCACGACAACGCTTGGCCTGCGACACCAGCACAATCGCCTTGCGAAGAGACGTGTTGTGAGAGTTGCGTAGATACGGCATTACTCCGACTAACTTATTCCCTTGATCAAGGCGGGGCAATCATATAACTAAAGGCTACCCCCGCTACGTATTCTGCTATCCTGCACGAGATCTCTTCGTCACAACTAACACCGGCTTGGTATCAACGGCAGAACATATATAAAGGTGCAATAATGACTGAGACTATGCGAGTTGAGTCTTTGGGCCCCGGGCATCCTGCGTATTCTGGCTAGTATCTGTAAGCGCTGATCTACGGCACCGCTAACTTGGAGTCAAGACGTCCTGGTATCTGAGATCCTGGTAGCCCTTGGTGGCTCATCGTAAACGGTACCGAGGGTGAGTCTCTTGTACGCGCAAGCCTTGAAGGTATCTTGCAAATTATGTTCATTGTCTGGCAGTCGGAATGCCATGCGATTCCGATCGGACGTTCGCAGTATGTTGCTAACTACTTACGACCGTAAAATTAGCGCCGCACTGGTATTCGGAAAGCAAACCGACATGAGATTGAGCTGACTTTAGGTTACGTTGGTATGTCCAGAGTAACAGGACGTAGCAGACGTAGGAGTATTGAGCGGCAGACTCCAAAACTAGTCTCAATACCTCTATCCATCCATCCTCGATGCAATCGCCAAAGTCTGCCTCGTGAACCTCCTCTTCGCATCCTTCCTCTCCTCTACTAAGTCCCTACGTTGCGTCTGCAACAGCTCAATCTGCTTGTCGATGTCGTCAATTTGATCCGCGAAGTCCCGATCCGCAGTAAGTGCTTGAGAGACTATCTTGGCGAGGTCTTCGAACTCTGCATCCTCGGCGGTGCGTTTTGTGCCTCGCAATTCTGGAGCGTCGACGGCGTTGGAGGGATTATTCAGTTGCTCCGCGTGAGCAGTTGACGGGCGCGGAGGAGCAGTTCTAGATGTGATGGGCGATGATAAAGGATTGGGTGTAACCTCGGCGGGAGTGAATTGGATATGATTATCATCGATGATTGGGCTTGCCTCTTCTGATGTAGTCTCAGGCTCAGTTTGCCGTTCGTACCCAACGAGGGGTGTTCTGACGGAAGCAGCCCCCATCCGCTTAGCGATGTATTCAAGCGCGCTCCGCAAACGCTCAGGATAAGCCTTTGTTTCTCTGAGCACACAATCCTTTGCTATTCCGGCTGCAATGAAGTACCACTTTACCACAAGTGTGAGTCGAGCTTTCTCGCCTTGGCCGATGCTGTGAGTACCTTCTGGATAGGTTTTGTTAAATGGGTGTAGGATACACTGTTTAGCAACGTCTTCAGAGCGGATGGTTGTCTTCGAGGGTGCGTGCGTATCTTCGATATAGAATTTGATCTCGTGAAATTCGCGTGACTTTCGCATATACGCATAGATGTCGTTGCCTTGTTCTTTATGGCGGCCCATAAAGAGCTTTCTTGGCAGGGCATCAAGAAAGAAGTCCTGGTTCACGAACTGAACCTCGTCTACGTCAGGTAGGTTTTTCAGCAAGTAAAGCGCGCCATATGAACCCAAGTAACTGTGCAGCTTGTCCAGATCAGAATGCTCATCGTCGCTCATGCTGACTGATGGGCTTTTTACTGGGGTAACGAGCTGTCTGGCTATCCTTGCTTCTTCTATACCAGTATGGCTGCGGTGACTTGGACGTTGATCTTGCGCGCCTCTGGGTTCTTCAGGTTCCGACGTTTCAGATTCCTTTTCAGCGCGTTTCTTTGCATCAATCTTCTGCAGTGCGTTGTAGAGTTGCGGGCAATACTTGACATAATCAACTTCAAGCTCGAAAATGCCTATGAAGTACCATTGAATGACGATACCGAAGTTGCTCTTTACCGACTCAGAAGTGTCGGCGTTGTACCTGAACGGCGCATTGAGTGGCAATTGCACCACCTCGTCTAGCGTAAGAGGCTGTGTTGTGGATGCATCGAGCCGACGATTGGCTGGCTTGAAGCAATATTGCACCCTGGGTGGGCTACCACCAGAGCTTTCCATGAAGGCAAGGATGTCGCGTCTGTCATGGGTACCAATCACAAGCGCTGTCGGCGGTGTTGCTGCAGGATGAGGCACCCAATTCATCAAATCGTGGGCCGGCAGTGCGTCGATCAGATCGCCTCTGCCATAATAGGCGATGCGCTTCCTAATAATGTTGAGCGCCATGACTGTAGGTTGTGCACGAAACAATGCAGCTGAGAAAGCACGGGAAGCGTGACCCTAAGTAGCCAAGAGTAACGGGGAGAATCGATGCGTTGCCAACAGTAGTGCTGCTCCAATAGACGAAGTGCGAAAGTTGTACAGTATGATGATAATGAAGAGTGAGGTTGCCAACGGGCTTCGCGACCCAGCCGAATATCCAAAAGTCTGGGCGACCAAAAGCTCGGACCACCAACGGCCAATGCGAAAACTAGTGAAGGGGTAGGGCAACACCGCAGGGTTGAAAGACTAAGAAGCAATGGGGCTCGCCTACGTAAACGACGAGTTTTCGAAATAGTTCTGCCCGTCGCGCCTGAGTTTCTATAGAAGAAGCCATAGTATAGATTAGGACGAAGGGTGAAGAAGCGAGCATATGTGATATTGCGGGACACGCGACGCGACATGCGACGCGATATAAGTGGCTAGAAATCAAACAACAGGGTGCCTTGTGGGAACACGGAGCAACGTAAACCAGAGAGGCTTATCTGATTCAGCCATAAGGGTCAGAGCGCGCTTGAAACCACTTGGCTAGCTGCTTGAGGCGCTACACGAGTTTAGAAGCTCCATTCAGATTACAACTTCTTCAACATTAGCTGGTGCGTTTCTAGTATAGATTGTGCGCTGAGGAGATTTGAAGGCACAAAGGATGATTGCCTGCAGCAAGATCCATAGACACATACTTCTATTGCACGGACAGGACAGATTATAGATGCTGAAAACAATACAACACATACACTCTCTTCTAACTATTCTGTCTACAATACCCGCACCCAACCGTGCGACATCTCCCCATCTGCGTCCCATATGAAAAATCCTAATTTACACTCCTTCCAATGTACCACACAGTCTTCCTCGCTAATGACTGTTCCTCGAGGTCTGTTCTCAACGCAGAAAGAGATACGCCGTCACTAATAAGAAGCGCTTAGCTAGCTGTAAGATGACCAATTATAGACAAAACGATCCCACTTCTGGATGCGTCTGCGGAGAGAGTAGGGGCACTTATGCGAAGCTGTAACCAGAGGCCTTATCTAAACACACGGAGGGCTGCTTCAGAAAAGAATGAGATCACGGTCTGGATGAGAATGCGCTTCACGATAACATGAACGACACAGAATCCGATTTGATAGATTACCCTGATTCAAGATCTACTCTTTCCAAGATCAAACACTATTCTTCCTAACCGCGCTTTATGCAGAGATCCGAGCTGCTATAGGATACACAACGATGCTTGTAGATGTCCTGGCGATCAAGAAGGCGTGTCGCCTTGCAGATCCTCCTGAAGGCTTCCACCCAACAAGCCAGGGATATGGCGGAGATCCTTGGGGATGGCTAGAAGACCTTTAGCGCCGTCTGTTTTGATGTCGTACTCGGCTGCGGCCTTGCATGTTTTCTGGAGGAGGTCACTTGAGTGGTACGGTTAGTGCTGATGAGAGATGCACGACCGAAAAACTCACAATTCTGGTTGGCCATACACAAGACCGGCTGACTGATCATCTTTTGAAG